AAAAAAAAAAGGTCTGCGATTATCGATCACACTGCAGAGTAACTGAGCGAATGTATGCGACGGAGGAATTCGATGTCCAGCGTGCTGGAAAATGTGTGTAGCTGGCGAAGCACATCCCCCTCCCCCTCCCAGTATTCTAATCATTATCCAGCCCACAGGCAAGCGTGCAAAATGGCTGGATTTACCACAAGTCCCGGCCACACTGGATGCGGATTGGCATGCGATTTACATGTCGCTGCAAGTCGCACGATTTCAAAGTGGGGTTTGATGTGACCGCGGGGTAAGTGCTCAGTCATACCGGTGCGATGTGTGAATTGAAATCGCATCTAGTGAATGTCGGTGTCCTAACACGTGCGATTCGCTGCAGCGCGAGTCGTTCTGGCGTGACTTTTTCTGCAGTTTTGTTGCGATTTCATACATAGAATAGAATGGAAATCGTGCCGCAAATTGCAAGAAATCGCTGAAAATCTTCACAAGTCAGAATTCACACCTAAATTGCACACAAATCGCACCGCAAATCGCAAGAAATAGATAAAAACCTTCACAAGTTGCAATAAAGTCGCAATAAAGTCTTCAGAAGTCGCATCTAACTTGCACACAAATCACACCGCAAATTGCAGGAAATCAATGAAAATATTCACAAGTCACAATAAAGTCACAATTGCACACAAATCGCACGATTTTAAATCGTAGCGGTGTGACCGGAGGCTCACTGCGACTTGTGAAGATTTTCAGCGATTTCTTGCGATTTGTGGAGCCATTTCCATTCTCTATTCTACGTCTGTGAAATCGCAAACAAAACTGCAGAAAAAGTCGCGCCAGAACGACTTTAGAAATGGCGCCACAAATTGCAAGAAATCGCTGAAAATCTTCACAAGCCACAATAAAGTCAGAAGTCGCACCTAAAAATGTACACAAATCGCACGATTTTAAATCGCAGCGGTGTGACTGGAGACTCATTGCGACTTGTGAAGATTTTCAGCGATTTCCTGCAATTTGCGGTGTGATTTGTGTGTAATTTAGGTGCGACTTCTGAAGACTTCATTGCGACTTTATTGCGACTTTTGAAGATTTTCAGCGATTTCTTGCGATTTGCGGTGAGATTTCCATTCTATTCTATGTCTGAAATCGCAACAAAACTGCAGAAAGAGCCGCGCCAGAACTACTTTAGAAATGGCGCTACAAATTGCAGGAAATCACTGAAAATCTTTACAAGTCGCAATGAGTCTCCGGTCACACCGCTGCAATTTAAAATCGTGCGATTTGTGTACATTTTTAGGTGCGACTTCTGAAGACTTCATTGCGACTTTATTGCGACTTGTGAAGATTTTCATCGATTTCTTGCGATTTGCGGTGAGATTTCCATTCTATTCTATGTCTGAAATCGCAACAAAACGGCAGAAAGAGTCACGCCAGAACGACTTTAGAAATGGCGCCGCAAATTGCAGGAAATCTCTGAAAATCGCAATAAAGTCGCAATAAAGTCTTCAGAAGTCGCACCTTAAAATGTACACAAATCGCACGATTTTAAATGGCAGCGGTGTGACCGGAGACTCATTGCGACTTGTGAAGATTTTTCAGCGATTTCTTGCGATTTGCGGTGCGATTTCCATTCTATTCTGCCTGTGAAATCGCAACAAAACTGCAGAAAGAGCTGCGCCAGAACGACTTTAGAAATGGCGCCGCAAATTGCAGGAAATCGCTGAAAATCTTCACAAGTCGCGATGAGTCTCCGGTCACACCGCTGCGATTTGTGTACATTTTAAGGTGCGACTTTATTGCGACTTGTGAAGATTTTCAATGATTTCTTGCGATTTGCGGTGCGATTTCCTTTCTCTTTTATGCCTGCGAAATCGCAACAAAAGGGCAGAATACGTCACGCAAGATGAACTCGCGCTGCAGCGAATCGCCCGTTAGGACGCCGACATTCACATTCGTTAGATGCGATTTCAGGTGAGATTTAAAATCACAAATGTCAGCGGTGTGAGCGCACTAACGCCAGGAACGTTTCCCACACGCCAACCTGTTGTGTGTCGCAAAGGTGCGTTCTCGCAGCCGATCGCAATAATCCTCCTCTATGAGCGCTGCGTTTTGGTGGCGTTCATTGCGCACAGAAGGGTGTCGGTGGCCAATTTTTGATTGAATGAACTACCGTAACACAAACGCATATTATCGCACGCAGCGACACGCGTCCATGAACGCAAAGGGCGAATGGGCCCCTAGGGCGCGGTCTGCTTCATTTCAGGCCACAGTCTTTTGGATGGACTCTCTGTATAGGGATGGAGTAGGTAGTCATCCAGCATGCTGGAAATTTTCTGCTTTCCTCTTACCAATGTCCTACAAAAAAAAAAAAAAAAAAAACCATGAAAAAATGTTCCCTCCCCATAGAATGAGTCGATTTCCATTGACGATCAATAAAAATAAATAAAGATTGCACAGTACGTGACATTCTGCGAACACCGAATATCCACCTGATGTGATAGGACAGAGCTCCGCCCACTCTCTATTTTTTATTTCTCCGGCTTTGTTTACTTTTCATTCTCTTTGTTTACATTTTTTATTATTTTTGGTTTGAACTTTTGTTACTTTTTATTTTTTTTAATTATTTTATATTTTTTTTAACGATAAGCATTTATAATTATCTTATTATTTTTTTTATCTTTTTTTATTATTTTTTATTTTTCTTTTGTACTTTTGTTACTTTTTTAAATTATTATTTTGTATTATTTTATTTGATATTTTTTATTTTAATTCTTTTTTTATTATTTTTTTATTTTAATTTTGTTTATTGTTTTATTATTATTATTATTATTATTATTATTTTTTAATTTTTCTTTTGTACTTACGATTACTATTTATTTAGTTTAATTATTTTTTTTTATCAGTTTATTATTTTTTTTTATCATTTTTTGTTTTGTACTTATGTCCCCTTTTTATTATTTTATATTTTTTTTATTTTTTAAATTATTTTATTATTATTATTTTATTATTTATTTTAAAAAATGTTTTAATTTTTGTTCTGTATTTTTGTCACCTTTTTTATTGTTATTTTTCTTAATTATTTTAATACTTTTTTCTTCTTTTCTTCTTTTTTTTTTCTTTTATTATTTTTGTTTGTGTTTTTTTGTTACTTTGTTGTCATTTTGTTTCTTTTCCTCTTGCAGGTTGTCCCCCCCCTCCTGATTGGTATTCTGATGCCCCCCCCCCCCACAGAGAGGAGGACAATGCCCTTTCTATGGGGTCTCCTCATGGATATGCATGTTGGCCTGAAGAGCTTGCAATCTAAAAGGGGATTAAACAGATTATATGCGGAGATAAAGGCCTGTGGGCGCATCTAGTTGTTGGGATGGAAGGAGGTTCAGGTGAGGGGCCCCGGGCTCTCAGGCGCAGCAAGGGTTAAGTGTCCCAGTTGGAAGGGTGGATGGGTGGGGTCTCTCCTGTGATTGGCTGGACGGCTCCTGGGGGCAAGGGGGAGTTTAAAGCACTCAAGGGGGGGGAAGAAAGAGGAAAGTAAGGAGGAGGAGGAGGAGAGGAGTGAGCACCTGCTGGATGGAGAGCCCTGAGCTGTATTCCCTAAAGGACGGGGGCCAACAGGGCCAACTAGGGGCCCCGCACATGCAGCACCATCAGGAGAGGGCCCCCCAGATCCAGGCAGGGGCCCCGCACATTCAGATTCCCCAGGACTGGTGCTCGCAGCTTCCGAAAAGAAGTCCACAACTCCAAAGCCACCATGAGAGGGATCCCTACATACAGCCAGGGGGCCACAGCATGCATCCCTACCAGGACTGGGGCTCCCAGCAAGACCGGGGACCTGAGCTGCCTGCTCACCAGGACAGGGGTCCCCAAACTCCTCCAGGGGCCACACACGCACAGGACAGAGGGCCAATTTTCCAGACTCAGATGCATCTAGAGGCCCCTCCGAGCAAAGCCTACCAGGACTGGGGACCACAGTTGCACCTATCCCAGGAAAGAGGCCCTTATCTTCAACCAGGGGCTCCACACATCCAGCAGTCCCAAGACAAGGACCAGCAACTGCAGAAGCCACTGGAAAGGGGTCCCTTTATGCAGCTGGGGTCCCCACACATCTCACATTCCCAGGACAAGGACCAACAACTGCAGAAGCCACTGGAAAGGGGTCCCTTTATGCAGCTGGGCTCCCCACACATCTCACATCCCCAGGACAAGGACCAACAACTGCAGAAGCCACTGGAAAGGGGTCCCTTTATGCAGCTGGGGTCCCCACAGATCTCACATCCCCAGGACAAGGACCAGCAACTGCAGAAACCACTGGATAGGGGTCCCTTTATGCAACTGGGGTCCCCACACATCTCACATCCCCAGGACAAGGACCAACAACTGCAGAAGCCACTGGAAAGGGGTCCCTTTATGCAGTTGGGGTCCTCACAGATCTCACATCCCCAGGACAAGGACCAGCAACTGCAGAAACCACTGGAAAGGGGTCCCTTCCTGTTGCAAGGAGCCCCAAATATTCAGCAGCCCCAAACCAAGGACCAACAACTGCAGGAACCACTGGAAAGGGGTCCCTTCCTGTTGCAGGGAGCCCCAAATATTCGCCAGTCTCAAGACGAGGACCAGCAACTTCAGAAATCACTGGAAAGGGGCCCTTTTATACAACTGGGGGCCCCACAGATCCAACATCCCCAGGACAAGGATCAGCAACTTCAGAAACCACTGGAGAGGCCCCCATTTGTGCAGCCAGGGGCCCCACACATCCAACATCCCCAGGACAAGGACCTGCAACTGCAGAAACCACTGGATAGGGGCCCCTTCATGAAACAGGGGACCCAACACATCCAACATCCCCAGGACAAGGACCAACAACAGGACACACCCCAAGAGAGGGATCCCCAGCCTCATTCCTACCAAGGCCTAGAACCACAGCCCCCAAAGGACAAGGGCCCCAGCCACAGCAGACCAAGGAGAAGGGCCCCCAGAAGGAGAAGGGCTCCAGCAGTGGCCCCCCTGCAGTGAAGCGCCCCATGAATGCCTTCATGGTGTGGTCCAGCGAAGAGAGGAAGAGGGTGTCCGCCCAATACCCCAAAATGCACAATTCGGAGATCAGCCGGAGATTGGGGGAAGTCTGGAGGGGCCTCACCGAGGAGGACCGGAGACCCTTCCGGGAAGAAGCCAAGAGACTGCGGGTACAGCACGCCCGGGACCACCCAGGGTACAAATACACCCCTCGCAAGAAGAAGAAGGTGGAGCCAATCACCAAGGCTCCCCAAATACCTCTTCCACTACCTGTACCCTCACAACTGAGATTGGATGAACCTCAACACCATCTCCAGGCCCAGCTCCAACCACAGCTTCAGCCCAGAGCCCTGCAAGAGGAGGAGAAGGCCTACCAATACAGCACCTACCAGGACCCCTACAGGTAGGTACCGAGATTGTACCCCATACATTGCACCACCTACTGCCCCCCCATTAATGACTCCAAACCCCTACAATCCACAAATCTTGCCAAGGCCACCAACCTTCAGATTACTACATGTCCGTGATATGACGTAGACCCCACACTGGCTACACGTGGCCCAGTTCTGTGCCAACCCGATGGTCTTATGGCCTGGTAGGGCCACAGGGTTGGGCTTAGAAGACTTTTAAGTGGGAAATCAATGGGTTCACCAATCGGGGGCTCGTTTATCAGAGAACGCCCCTAAGGTCACCCTGCACCTACCCAAACTTTGTCATGTGAAGACCTACCTAACCTGTCCAATCGATTTGCATCCAATCAGGCAGACCCCTTGCACTGCGTACGCGTTGGTGGATGTAAAGGAGATTGTACAACCAGATTGTAAAGTGTGTGGTGAGCTGTAAGCTGGCCATACATCCAACAATCTCTATTCAATCTCCTTTTAGATCTACCAAGACTATGTAGAGGAAACCCAACCTTAGCAATCCAACCGATTTTGTGGTCAGGCTGGTTTTCCTACTACCCAATTGTTGGTGGATTTAAAGACGATTGTATCATGTGTGGTGAGCTTGAGGTCTGCCCATGATGTAGTGTGAGGATCTGCACAATGGGGTACAAACTGAATGGATTGTACAATCGAGATGGTGTCGTGTATGGCTAGCTTCACTCTTCCTGTGTCTGTCCTACTGACCTCATTGCAAAACTGTGAATGTAGTTCTGGATAGAGGAAGAAAGGGTTAACCACCACTTCCTGTTCCAGAAACACCAACAGGAAGTGAAAGGAGGTATCACTGGAACAGGCGTCCCCATTGGGAGATTTCCCTCACTTCCTGTTCTGGTGACAACTCTACCATTTTAGACTTCCTTTCCTTCTTGTTGCCAATGGTCATCGGTACAAGTAGACTCTAACGGCCACATGTAATGCTGAGCCTCCCATCACTTCAGAGGTCCCCCCCGGATCTGCATCTGAGGGTCCCCCCCCGGATCTGCAATTGAGGGTCCCCCCCCATCCACATATCTGCATATGAGGGTTCACCTCCCCCCGTATCTGCATGTGAGGGTCCCCCCCCATCCCCGTATCTGCATGTGAGGGTCCCCCCCCCATCCCCGTATCTGCATGTGAGGGTCCCCCCCCATCCCCGTATCTGCATGTGAGGGTCCCCCCCCCATCCCCGTATCTGCATGTGAGGGTCCCCCCCCCCATCCCCATAACTGCATGTGAGGGTCCCCCCCCCCATCCCCATAACTGCATGTGAGGGTCCCCCCCCCCATCCCCATAACTGCATGTGAGGGTCCCCCCCCATCCCCGTATCTGCATGTGAGGGTCCCCCCCCATCCCCGTATCTGCATGTGATATGTGATGGTCCCCCCTGGTATCTGCAGGTGAACCCCCCTTCCCCAGATCTGCATCTAAGGGGGCCCCCATCCCCGTATCTGCATCTGAGGGTCCCCCCACATAGGCATCTGAGGGTGTGTGTCCCCTTCCCCATATCTGCACTAAGGGGTACCCCCGTATCTGCATCTGAGGGGGGCCCCCATCCCCATGCATCTGAGGGTGTTCCCCCCCCATATCTGTACTAAGGGGTACCCCTGTATCTGCACCTGAGGGGACCCCCATCCCCATATCTGCACTAAGGGGTACCCCTGTATCTACATCTGAGGGGGCCCCATCCCCATGTATCTGAGTGTTTCCCCCCATATCTGCGCTAAGGGGTACCCCTCATATCTGCATCTGGGGGGACCCCATCCCTATATCTGCATCTGAGGGTGTCCCCCCCCCCCCCCCCCCCCCCAATATCTGCTTCTGAAGGGGCCCCATATCTGCATCTAAGAGTGTCCCCACTGTTATCTGCATCTGAGGGTCCCCCCATATCTGTATCTAAGGGGGCCCCCATCCCTTTATCTGCATCTGAGGGTCCCACTCCCCTGGTATCTGCTTCTGAGGGTCCCTCCGTATCTGCATTTGAGGGTGCGTTGCCCCCCTTCCCTTCCCATCCCTGTATCTGCATCTGAGGATGTCTCCCCCCATATCTGCCTCTAAGGGGGCCCCCATCCTCGTATCTGCATCTGAGGGTCCCCCCCGTTATCCGCATCTGAGGGCCCCCCATCTGCATCAGGGGTCCCCCAATTTACATCAGTCCTCCCTATACATGAGTCCTCCCCTTCTGGTTCTAGCAGCAGGACAAAGCAGGAGGCCCCCTTTTCTTCTGTCCTGTGTGCTGAGGGTGGTCCTTCCATGGCGTGGTCAGGCTGGCCGCCAGCACCATGACAACGAATGCCGCCCTGCACCCCGGCTTTAGAGCTCCATTGGTTGTTGTGGTGCTGGCAGCAGGCCCACCACACCATGGCAACCCATTACATGGTGCAAAAATACATAACCGCATTCCTGGCACCATGGTGAACCCGTATGGGCCCCAGCTGGAAGCGTTGTACTGGATCCTCAGATCTGGATCTTCTAGGGTGAAGGATTCACGGGGTGTCCTGAAACTGCAACAACGTATCTCTGTCCAGGGTGAGGAACATCCAGAGAAGATATGTTGTTACAACTTCAGAACAACCGCAAGTTCTTCACCTTGGAAGATCTCCATTACTCAGAGGATGGGTTTGTTGGGACTGAACATAGTCCTTTGTATACAATTTACTTGCAGACCTTGACTCCAGACTTCACCTGCTGCATGCTTGTTCCAGGTTGGTGATCAAAACCAAAGTCAGCCACGCAACTTGACTTTTCAGAAGGCGGTCAGCAATGGCGGCAGTACGGATTGACCCAAAATTGGCCCTCAGGTCTTATTAACCAATAACCTTCTCTCTCTCTCTCTCTCACAGTTACGTGCAGTACCCCGCCCCCATCAAGACGGAACCGTTCTACCCCACCGTCAGCGACGTTTCCGCGCTCTATGGCCTCGGACTCTTTGATTACGGTGAGCGGAGGGGAATCCATCCTCAGGTTCACTATCAGACGGTGGAAGTGGAGAGCGGGGGGTCCCTCACCAGTCTGTGACCAGCGTGGGCGGTCTCGTGGAACTTACTGGATCGTGCTGGTCCCGCCCATGAGGGGCAACTGAACTTCCTATCCTTCCAAGGAGCCTCGTAGGTTTCCTGTTTTATAGAAGTGGCGAGTATGACCGACGCGTGACGATCTCCGTCTCTAGACAGTATGTCCCATCCAGTAGAATTGTCTAGTTGGGGTCCCACTATAGGGGCCGCTGTAAACACCTTTTTTTTAGGGGGATTTGCAGATCCGTTGTGGACTATACCATCCGAGAAATGTTCTCACCTCGACACTCCTCGTGGGAGGTTACAATATGGCTGCAGTCTTGTACACTGTTTTACCAAACTGTCTACAGTCTCTAGATTTTTATGGATATGATATTTTGTATTTTTGTTAGTGAAATATTAAATTTGTCTTTTTTTTTTTTTTATGTGTCAGAATTTTTCTGCTTTCATTGCTCAATAGAAAAAAACCTCAGAACTACATCTCCCATGAAACCTTTGTGACACCTGATGTAAGGGGGCACTCTGATGGGACCAATCCATATTAGGGGGCACTCTGATGGGGACGCCTGATGGAAGGCGGCACTCTGATGGGAACAATCCATATTACTCTGATGGAAGGGGGCACTCTGGTGGGGACGCCTGATGGAAGGGGGCACTCTTGGTGGGGACGCCTGATGGAAAGGGGGGGGATCTCTGGTGGGGATGCCTGATGGAAGGGGGCACTCTGGTGGGAACAGTCAATATTAGGGGGCAGTCTGGTGGGGACGCCTGTAGGAAGGGGGCACTCTGGTGGGGACGCCTGTAGGAAGGGGGCACTCTGGTGGGGACGCCTGATGGAAGGGGGCACTCTGGTGGGGACAGTCATTATTAGGGGGCACTCTGGTGGGGACGCCTGTTGGAAGAAGGCAGTCTGGTGGGGACGCCTGTAGGAAGGGGGCACTCTGGTGGGGACGCCTGATGGAAGGGGGCACTCTGGTGGGAACAGTCATTATTAGGGGGCACTCTGGTGGGGACGCCTGTTGGAAGAAGGCAGTCTGGTGGGGACGCCTGTACGAAGGGGGCTCTCTGGTGGGGACGCCTGTACGAAGGGGGCTCTCTGGTGGGGACGCCTGTAGGAAGGGGGCACTCTGGTGGGGACGCCTGTAGGAAGGGGGCACTCTGGTGGGGACGCCTGATGGAGGGGGCACTCTGGTGGAGACATCTGATGGAAGGGGCACTCTGGTGGAGACATCTGATGGAAGGGGGCACTCTGATGGGAACAATCCATATTACTCTGATGGAAGGGGCACTCTGGTGGAGACGCCTGATGGAAGGGGCACTCTGGTGGAGACGCCTGATGGAAGGGGGCACTCTGGTGGAGACGCCTGATGGAAGGGGGCACTCTGGTGGAGACGCCTGATTGAAGGGGGCACTCTGGTGGAGACGCCTGATTGAAGGGGGCACTCTGGTGGAGACGCCTGATGGAAGGGGGCACTCTGGTGGGGATGCCTGTTGGAAGGGGGCACTCTGGTGGGGATGCCTGATGGAAGGGGGAACTCTGGTGGGGACGCCTGATGGAAGGGGGCACTCTGGTGGAGACATCTGATGGAAGGGGGCACTCTGGTGGGAACAGTCAATATTAGGGGGCACTCTGGTGGGGATGCCTGTTGGAAGGGGGCACTCTGGTGGGGATGCCTGTTGGAAGGGGGCACTCTGGTGGGGATGCCTGATGGAAGGGGGAACTCTTGGTGGGGACGCCTGATGGAAGGGGGCACTCTTCGTGGGGACGCCTGATGGAAGGGGGCATTCTTGGGGATGCCTGATGGAAGGGGACACTCTTGGTGGGGACGCCTGATGGAAGGGGGCACTCTGGTGGAGACATCTGATGGAAGGGGGCACTCTGGTGGGAACAGTCAATATTAGGGGGAACTCTGGTGGGGACGCCTGTTGGAAGGGGGCACTCTGGTGGGGACGCCTGTTGGAAGGGGGCACTCTGGTGGGGATGCCCGATGGAAGGGGGAACTCTGGTGGGGACGCCTGATGGAAGGGGGCATTCTTGGGGATGCCTGATGGAAGGGGGCACTCTTGGTGGGGACGCCTGATGGAAGGGGGCACTCTTGGTGGGGACGCCTGATGGAAGGGGGCACTCTTGGTGGGGACGCCTGATGGAAGGGGGCACTCTTCGTGGGGACGCCTGATGGAAGAGGGCATTCGTGGGGGCGCCTGATGGAAGGGGGGATCTCTGGTGGGAACAGTTAATATTAGGGGGCACTCTGGTGGGGACACCTGTTGGAAGGGGGCACTCTGGTGGAGACGTCTGATGGAAGGGGGCACTCTGGTGGGAACAGTCAATATTAGGGGGAACTCTGCTGGGGATGCCTGTTGGAAGGGGGCACTCTGCTGGGGACGCCTGTTGGAAGGGGCACTCTGGTGGGGACACCTGAAAGGGGGCACTCTGGTGGGGACGCCTGTTGGAAGGGGCACTCTGGTGGGGACGCCTGTTGGAAGGGGCACTCTGGTGGGGACGCCTGTTGGAGGGGGCACTCTGGTGGGGACGCCTGAAAGGGGGCACTCTGGTGGGGACGCCTGTTGGAAGGGGGCACTCTTGGGATGCCTGTTGTAAGGGGGCACTCTTGGGACGTCTGATGGAAGGGGGCACTCTGGTGGGAATGCCTGTTGGAAGGGGCACTCTGGTGGGGACACCTGAAAGGGGGCACTCTGATGGGAACAATCCATATTAGGGGGCACTCTGCTGGGGACACCTGATGTAAGGGGCCCCAGATGTGAAGGGGACTCCTAAGGTGGACTTTGTTGTATGAGACCCTCTGATGGGGGACTGATGTTAAGGGGGACCTCGAAGCAGACATTGATGTAAGGGGGCACTCTAATGGAGACCTGATGTAAGGGGGGCCCTGATAGGGACATGTGATATAAGGGGTGCAGGTTCTAATCACTCTAATCTGGTCACAGCCTGGACATACCAGTGTCCCAGGTCTGGACTCTGTGTGGCAGACTGTCAGTGACTCACACAGTGATACCATTATGCCCCCAGACTTTTTTGAACTGCACCCCAAGATCTGATAGGTGATATCCGGCCCTGCACTGCAGGTTGCAAATTTAGTGGTATTGAATGGGGAGTGAGGGGTGTTGTTTTGTAGTCCTGTCAACAGGGCTGGCGATGCTGGTTGGGAATTTGGGGGACAGGTATTGATGGCAGGGATGAGGGTTTTTGGCGGGTATACTGTAGTCAAGAATGTGTGGCAGAAAATGCAGGGTGGGAATTCAGAGAAAAGGCATAGAATGGGGTGGGGGTGGAGTTCTATAGTCCAGCAGACAGGGTAGATAACAGATGGTGGGAACCCCTAACAGGCACAGCGGGCGTACAGACCTGGGAACTCAGCAGAGGGATGGTGGGAACCCCCCTCATAATGGTCACAGCGGGCGTACAGACCCGGGAACTCAGCACAGAGATGGTGGGAACCCCTCATAATGGGCACAGCGGGTGTACAGACCTGGGAACTCAGCACAGGGATGGTGGGAACCCCTCAATGGGCACAGCGGGCGTACAGACCTGGGAACTCATCATAGGGATGGTGGGAACCCCTGCATTTCTTTCTAGGGATGAAAGTAATCCAAAAGTCCTCCTTTCCTTGGCTGCTTCCCTCCTCCTGGAAATGCTGAGATAGATTTATTTATTTCAGGTTCTTATATAGCGCCTTCAATTTACGCAGCACTTTACATATATATTGTACATTCACATCAGTCCCTAACCCTCAAGGGGAGTATAATCTAAGGTCCCTAACGTACATTCATACATACACATACTAGGGACAATTTGGACATGAGGATAGATCCTTACATGTTACTGTAGCTTGGTCCTCTCCTCAGAAGACCCAACTATTTATATCCTAACCTGCTACCCACCCAGTGGGCCCCACTGCTGGCAGGGGCAGGGCTGGAATTGACTTGAATTGCCCCCTCCTTATGGGGACCTCCAATGGCTCCTATACTGCTCATCCATACAAGTGGTCTGCTACCTATCCAATTCTACAACTCTGGTGCCATCTTGTGGACAAAAAGGGGAAACTACACCAAGCACATCAGTTCCTATACCATAGCAGGTATGCATTATTATTATTATACAGGATTTATTATATATTATTATTATACAGGATTTATTATATATTAATATACAGGATTTATTATATATTATTATTATACAGGATTTATTATATATTAATATACAGGATTTATTATATATTATTATACAGGATTTATTATATATTATCATTATACAGGAGTTATATATTATTATACAGGATTTATGGCGCCAACAGTTTGCTCAGCGCTTTTCAATATAAAGGGAGACAGTACAATTACAATAAATTTCAGTACAGAAGGAATAGGAGGGCCCGGCTCGTGAAGCTTACAATCTAAAGGAAGGGGGAGGTGATACAAAAGGTGATAGCTGCGGGGAATATCTGGTGGAAGTGACTCTGGTACAGTTCTTAGGTGGAGGTGGGGTAGGCTTCCCTGGATAAGTGAGTTTTCAAAGATCGCCTAAAGGCAGACAGGGTGGGGGCTGACCGGACTTACTGGGGTAAGGAGTCCCAGAGGATGGGAGAGGCTCTTGAGAAGTCCTGGAGGTGGGCGTGGGAGGAAGTGACGAGAGGAGGATATCATGGGAGGAGCGGAGTGGGCGATTTGGGTGGTATCTGTGGATGAGGTTGGTGATGTAGCTAGGGGCAGTGTTGTGGATGGATTTGTACCTTGTGGTTAGTATTTTTAATTTTATATGTTGGGTTAGTGGAAGCCAGTGGAGGGATTGGCAGAGGGGGGTGGAGGACACTGAGTGGAGGTCAGTGGAGGGATTGGCAGAGGGGGGTGGAGGACACTGAATGGGGGCCAGTGGAGGGATTGGCAGAGAGGGGTGGAGGACACTGAATGGAGGTCAGTGGAGGGATTGGCAGAGAGGGGTGGAGGACACTGAATGGAGGTCAGTGGAGGGATTGGCAGAGAGGGGTGGAGGACACTGAGTGGAGGCCAGTGGAGGGATTGGCAGAGAGAGTGGAGAACTCTGAGTGGAAGCCAGTGGAGGGATTGGCAGAGAGGGGTGGAGAACACTGAATGGGGGCCAGTGGAGGGATTGGCAGAGAGGGGTGGAGAACACTGAGTGGAGGCCAGTGGAGGGATTGGCAGAGAGGGACGAAGAACACTTGGTGGAGGCCAGTGGAGGGATTGGCAGAGAGGGACGAAGGACACTTGGTGGAGGCCAGTGGAGGGATTGGCAGAGAGGGGTGGCAGATACAGAACGGTTAATAAGGTGGATGAGTCTGGCAGCAGCATTCATGATAGACTGAAGGAGGGATGAAATATGTAACGGGAGACCAGTGAGGAGGAACTCGCAGTAATCGAGGCGGGAGATGACCAAGGCGTGGATAACCAGAGGTAGACTTGCCGGTAACTCATTTTCTATAAGTCTTCCTGGACAGCCTCCTGAGATGTGGAGCTCCTCCCTCCGGGACAGGAAAGACATAGGCCCAGAACCTTAGAAGGCGGACCTCCAGACCTCCCTCTTCAGTTTTCCCCGAGAACCACAGGAAGGCACTAAAAGACATAGACATACATTACAGTACAATACTTAGGGTGGGAAATCCTGGCTGTCCTGGAAGACTTATAGAAAATGAGTTACCAGTAAATCTAACTCTGGTTTTCTCAAACACATCTTCCAGGACAGCCCCCTTGAGACAATAATCAAGAACTTGCCCACTAGGGCGGGGCTACCGCCTGGAGGACTTTGCGCCCAAATGCCTGATCCTCACTAGAAAGCAGATCCAGCGGTAATGTTTCACGAAGGTAGAAAAGCTGGACCAAGTGGCCACCTTTGAGATCTGTTCTGGCAAGGCACTGGCTCTCTCTGCCCAGGATGCTAACAAGGATCTGGTTGAGAGCACGTTCACAAACGGGAATCTCTAAGAAATTGTACGATTCCGTGACAGCCATCCTAATAGATTTTAGCATGTAGACCCTGATACATGAGGTAATTCTTAGACAAACATACGTCCTCCTTAATCTCTAAGATTTTATAGATAGCCTTAAGGAGGTCATCTACATCATCAAGGGTCAATTTGTACCTGGAACCCCTGGAGGAGCAACCTTCTCCGTCATCCTCCTCTAAGCCAGACCCTGCTTGTAAAAAAGCAAGGGACCTAGGATCCGCTTCCGAAAGTCAACAGGAGCGCAGCTCCACTCCTCTCTGAAATGGAGGGATCGGGTCGGGCAAGGAGGAGATAACTTACTTAACCAGGAGCCACCAGCACCGCTCTTCAGCCTAGGGCTCCTATACAGCTTCCTAAAACGTGTAACTTATCCTTCCGGAGGAAACACTAATATTGACGAGGAAGGTCTGGAGGTCTGCATTTTAAGGTTCTGGGCTTACGTGTTTCCTGTCCCGGAGGGAGGAGCTCTACATCTCAATGGTTTGTCCTGGAAGATGTTTTTGAAAAACGTTGTTTTCTGGTGTCATTGGTCAGAAAGGAGTGGATTCTGGAAATGTTCCGGAGGTTGAAGCAGCAGGATTTAGCCAGTGAGTGGATGTGGGCCTGAAGGAGAGGTCAGAGTCTAGGATTACGCCTAGCACCCTGGTATGAGGGGAAGGACCAATGGTTGTGCTGTTGATCTTAATGGTAAAGTCGTGAGTGGGGGATCGGGGGGGAGGTAATATTACAGCTCGGTTTTGGAAGGTTTGAGTTTAAGGTAGTGATTTGACATCCATGCTGATATGTCGCTTAGTAGATTTGTGCTACGTGAGGAGATTGAGGGGTTGAGCTGGGGAGTGAAGAGATATATCTGGGTGTCGTCAGCATAGAGGTGGTATTGGAAGCCATGGGAGGTTATCAATTGGCCCAGGGAGGAGGTGTGGAGCGAGAAAAGGAGGGGCCCAAGAACAGAACCTTGGGGTACCCCAACAGAAAGAGGGAGAGTAGCGGAGGAGTTGTTGTATTTGTCACTGAAAGTGAAGAAAGGTAAGAGGAGAACGAGGAGAGAGTAGAGTCATGGAGGTCAATGGAGTGGAGTTTACTGAGGAGGAGCGGGTGGTCAACTGTGTCAAAGGCAGCAGAAAGGTCAAGGAGTATGAGTATGGAGTAGTGGCCATTGGTTGGGATAAATATGGAGTAATGGCCATTGGTTGGGATGAGTATGGAGTAATGGCCGTTGGTTGGGATGAGTATGGAATAATGGCCGTTGGTTGGGATGAGTACGGAGTAATGGCCATTGGTTGGGATGAGTATGGAGTAATGGCCGTTGGTTGGGATGAGTATCGAATAATGGCCGTTGGTTGGGATGAGTACGGAGTAATGGCCATTGGTTGGGATGAGTATGGAGTAATGGCCATTGGTTGGGATGAGTATGGAGTAATGGCCGTTGGTTGGGATGAGTATCGAATAATGGCCGTTGGTTGGGATGAGTACGGAGTAATGGCCATTGGTTGGGATGAGTATGGAGTAATGGCCATTGGTTGGGATGAGTATGGAGTAATGGCCGTTGGTTGGGATGAGTATGGAATAATGGCCGTTGGTTGGGATGAGTACGGAGTAATGGACATTGGTTTTAGCAGTTAGTAGTTCGTTAGTGAGTTCTAGTAGGGCAGGTTCTGTGGAATGTTGTGGGCAGAAGCCAGACTTGTCGGGGATCAAGAAGGTTGTTGTCGGTGAGCTAGCAGTTCATACGGGTGTGAACAAGGCGCTAGAGGGGCTTGAAGGCAAACAATAGCAGGGAGATGGGTCTTAAGTTATTCAAACAGGTGGGGTCCAGCGAGGGTTTTTTTTAAGTATGGGGGTAACCAGTGCATGTTTGAGTGGGGAAGGAAAGGTGCCCATGGAGAGTGAGAGGTTGAAGACGTGGGTTAGAGAGTTTAGGATAGAGCAGGAAGGAGGCTGCAATAATCGTGAGGGGACAGGATCCAGGGGACAGGTGGTGAAGTGAACCTTGGAAAGCAGTTCGGTAACTTCCTCGGTGGTAACATGGTCGAAGGAGGAGAGTGCTGAGTGTGGTGTTGGGCCTGGTATGTTGGTTGGAGGAGGAAGCTTGACACTGGAGATCTCATCACGAATTGTGTCCATCTTGTTCTTGAAGTGACTGGCAATCTCCTGTGCAGTAAGTAAGTTGGTGGGTGGAGGCAGTGGGGGGTGGAGTAAGGAATTAAGGGTAGAAAAGAGTTGACGAGGATTGGATGAGGGTCTTGATGAGAGTGTTGTAGTAGGTTTGTTTAGCAGCATGGAGGCTGAAGTTGTATTTGAGAAGAGCGGATTTGTAGAGGGTAAACTCTTTTAGGGATTTAGTTTTACTCCATACTCACTCAAAAGCACGGCTGCATCTCTTGAGACTTCTGGTGTCATCTGTTGTTTGCCAGGGTTGTGACAGGCGAGGCCTGGTTCTGCGTGTAGAGAGAGGAGCAAGTACGTCCAGGGAGGATGATAGTAAGTTGTAGGGAGATGTGGCCAGCTCTGGGCAGGACAGGGGTGCAATTTCATCATAGAGGCGCTCAGTAGCGGAGTGGAGAAGGGCAGGGCTGAGGTGGTGGAGGTTCTACGGGTAACGGTTTGCTGGTTGGAGGAATGGGAGGTAGGAGGCAGGGAGAGTGTGAAGCTGATCAAGTTGTGATCAGAGAGAGGAAAAGGGGTGTTAGAGAGGTTACAGGGAGTGCATAGGTAGGAGCAGGGGCGGACTGACCATTCGGACACTTGGGCATTGCCCGAGGGCCCAGGGTCAGTAGGGGACCCCATGTGATGCCTCTGGTACCTTTCATAGGCTTTTTTGGGGGAGTGGTTTGAGTTTAGGCAAGGACACAGTGGCCCCATGATCTCCTGTTGTCTGTGGGCCCCATGAGTTGTCAGTCAGCCCCTGGGTGGGAAAATACGAGGTCGAGGGTGTTGCCATTGAAGTGGGTGGTGGATTGTGTCCATTGTGTTAGGTTAAAAGAGGAAGTTAGGTTGAGTAGTTGAGAAGCGGCTGAGGTGCTAACATTGACTGGGATGTTAAAGTCACCGAGGATGATGTCAGGCACTTCAGAGGAGAGAAAGTACAGTAGCCATGCTGAGAAGTCATCAAGAAAGCATGAAAATGGGCCAGGAGGCAGGTAGATGACTGCGATCCTCAGACAAACAGGAGAAGAGACACGTACAGTACACTTCAAAAGAGCGGAGGGACAGAGAGGGAGGTGTAGGAAGAACCTGGAACATGCTTTGTGGGGAAAGAAGAAATCAAACTCTGTCCCCTTATTGTCCACTGGGTCTGGGTGAGTCCAGAGGAGGCCACCAAGGGAGAGTGCAGCTGAGGAGACAGAGTTGGATTCCTGGAGCCAGGCTTCAGTAATAGCAAGAAGGTTGAGTGAGTGGGAGAGGAAGAGGTCCTTGATAGTAGAAAGTTTGTTAGAGATTGAGTGGGCGTTCCAGAAGGCAGAGATTGAGGAGAGAGAGGGCATTATAGCAAAAAAGAGAGTTAGTAAGAGCATGCTGGAGAGAGGAGAAATAACGAAGGACGACTGAAGGAAAGAGGTCAGAGAGTGAAGAGCACTTGCAGACAAGTCGGGGTGGAGCACTAATGTTTGTTCCAGGGGCGGACTGACCATTCAAGCGCTCGGGCACTGCCTGAGGGCCCAGGGTCAGTAGGGGGCCCCATGAGATGCACCTGGTACCTTTCATTGGCTTTTTCATAGTCTTTTTTGGGCATGGGCGAGGACACGAGGGCCCCATGATCCCCTATTGCCCGGGGGCCCCATGAGTTGTCAGTCTGCCCCTGGTTTGTACTTCCCGTAGTTAGAGTGCCGTGCACTTAGCGCCGAAATGGCACTTTGGACAAGGAATGAGCAGCCATCCCAAGGACTGGACTGAATTTATATTTGGATGGACTGGGGGAGGTTGGGCAATAGTTCAATTAAGAGCTAACAGATGACACATGGAGGAGGTTATCTGCCCTTAACAAATAGCAAGCAGAATGGACACAAGATAAGGCACTATGAGAGTAAATTATCTTAATTCATAGGTGTACAGACCCGGGAACTCGGCACAGGGATGGTGTGAACCCCTCAAAATGGGCACAGCGGGAGTACAGACCCGGGAACTCAGCACAGGGATCATGGGAGCCCCTCATAATTGGTACAACGGGTGTACAGACCCGGGAACTCAGCATTGGAATTTTGGTAACCCCGCATAATGGGCACAGCAGGTGTACAGGCCTGGGAACCCGGCAGTGGAATTTTGGTAACCCCACATAATGCGTACATCAAGGGTGCAGACCCCGGAACTCCTTTCATGTGTGGTATGAACCCCTCTTAAGGGGCATACCTCCCAACAGTCCCAAATTCCATGGGACTTTTCCAGGAAAAAAAAAAATCCCAGCATCCTGTTAATCCAGGCAATGTCCCACAGTGCCACCCTTAGGGGGGTATGTGGGGCTGCCAGCTGGCAA